TCAACAAAAAATGTAGGTTAATAATTGTAATAATTTAATCTTGGGGTAAAATAGATATTCCTTCTATTAAGTCAAAACTAGAGCTGTTGCCAGGTCTTGGTTCAGTTGAAAAGAAGCTGGTATTTGTATATTTTTTTTCGTTATCATAATCTTGACCATCATCATCACTGTTTTTATCACCCGAGTTGCTATCATCGTGATGAGTTGACATAGGGATCATCGGTGTAGTTTACAACTCGGTCGGTTCGGTCTACTTTTTTGTCTATAATTAATTATTTTTTTGAAGATATTCGATTCGTAGTAATCGAATGTAACTTTTTTCAATTACCAGCTTCCGATTATTTTCTGTTTTTTTCCATCTGAAGGCTAGCTCTTTCATAATTCGTCGTAAACTTCATACCGAGCCATTAAAATTTATATCTTCTTTAAATTTTTCGAAGCCTTTCTACGGTACGGAGTTTCGCTGCTTGTTATGTAGTTATTATGATTACATCTTTTTATTACAGATTGAACGAAACTATCCATTCCGGTAACTTTCTTCTTCCCTGATCTTTTCTTACCCGGAGTCCGAAACACGGCGAGCAAGCCAGAGCCTTTAGCTTCGTTAATAATGCACCTAACAGTACTCACTGATGTTTTTGTTGCTTCCGAAGTCTGTTTTAATTTTTCCATATCATTCTTCCCCTGTTTTATAATGAAGCAATATACGTCGTACACAAATTTTCTACCCTTTCTTTTAAGTACTACACCAGTTTGTCACGGCATAGTGTATGTTTTATAAAAAATCAACAAACACTCAACAAATAGCAATGGCAACAAAGTCCACAAGCAATTATAACAAATAACTTAACGATTAATAACGATAGACTTTCCACTGTACGCAAGCGTACTTTTGGGAGCAAGCGGAACGAGGGCGCGGTGCGGGACGCAAGGTTCGACTGATCTACCAATAACGCGCTCGATACGATTTCCCCTGCCGTCGCGCCTCACCCTCACCACCAAAGTGATCTAAAATTCGGTTCTGCGCAGTCAAGGTCATTTGCTCAAGAAGTTTGCCGGTTACTATACCATGTATTTGACGCACACACGCATGCATACCTACTATTTACTGTCAAACTTTTGTTCTTGACGTCTGTTGTCAAATTGAGAATAGATTAAATATTGTTTGCCTTTGTTAATATTTTTTATAGTGTAGTCTTGGCGAAATTTGTGATTATAGAAGTATAAAATACAATCATAACAGTGTACAAAATTACAATTCCAATTAATTATAGTCGAATTTCGACTGGTGGTAGGACCTATTGTGAGTCCGCACGGGTAGGTACCACCGCCCTGACTATTTCTGCCGTGAAGCAGTAATGCGTTTCGGTTTGAAGGGTGGGGTAGCCGTTGTAACTATACTGAGACCTTAGAACTTATATCTCAAGGTGGGTGGCGCATTTACGTTGTAGATGTCTATGGGCTCCAGTAACCACTTAACACCAGGTGGGCTGTGAGCTCATCCACCCATATAAGCAACAAAAAAAAAAAAAAGGCTACTGTGGGACCACTAGTTCTTATTATTATAATTCTTCTTATTAGTGAATTAAATGTTTTATTGGATGGACGGTGGGTAACGCAATGTTCAAATGTCAAAGAATCACTCTCGAGTGTCGTCGGAAGTACGACGTAAATAATATGATGACAACAGGAAAACGCGAGAAATGACGTAGAAGCAGGTTTAATCATACATTCCTATTATTTTTATGCTTCGTATAAGACATTTTAATATTGGATTTCTTATATTTGAGTCGACTATTATCAAAGCCGGCAATGTGACTTTTGGACAATTATTGGTAAATCAGAAAAACGAATTATTGACTTTGTATTTCATTGTCAGTCACAAAACTCTTCTGAACGACATCTTAGATAAATAACAGGTTAAGTATTAACCTTTATTTAATGCAGGTTTTGAACCGTATTCTTTTAAGGAGACGATTATATTCAAATCAATCTGTATTGACATATCAATAACATTTTTTTGTCCAAATGCACAGATTGCCACCTTTGATAATAGACGACTCATTTATAAGAAATACATTTGAATATATATATATATATATATATTTTATTTCTTAGATGGGTGGACGAGCTCACAGCCCACCTGGTGTCGAGTGGTAACTGGAGCCCAGAGACATCTACAACGTCAATGCGCCACCCACCTTGAGATATAAGTTCTAAGGTCTCCAGTATAGTTACAACGGCTGCCCCGCCCTTTAAACCGAAACGCATTACTACTTCACGGCAGAAATAGGTAGGGTGGTGGTACATACCCGTGCGGACTCACAAGAGGTCCTCCGGATCCTTCACCATGGAAGTCAATCGTGAACATTTGTCAAGTACGTATTTGATTAGAAAAATTGGTACCCGCCAGCGGGATTCGAATACCGTTGCATCGCTAGATACGAATGCACTGGACGTCTGATCCTTTAGGCCACGACGACTTGAATGCAGTAATATAAGAAATATAATTGTATATGATCTGCTATCGGATTAAAAGGCTTTATTACTATTGTTAAAAATAATTATAGCAACGTATATTCAATTATGTATTGATTCGCCCTTGTTAAGGCTTTATGTATTGAGTTTTTTTTTGCGCACAAAAAGTCGGACAAGATTAAAAATCACCTAAGCACGTTACGCGATCTCTGTCAAATTTTGCCAACACGGAAATCACACACGAATCGAGCACGTGCTAATCCAGTCAACAAATACGTTTTAATATTATCACTAAGTAGTTTGGTGATTTATTTATTCATCTAAATAAAACCGGACGGTTTTTTTCGGTGCGTGGGTAACACGTTAAATATAAGTGGATCATTGTTGTTCTGGAAATTTTTTTGTACGTTAAATTTTTATGTTTTGCGAATATTTATTGAAGGCATAAGTGGATGAAGGCGATATGATACAATTTGTTAATTTTGGGAAAACGGGCAACAAACTTTTGCTACTTGTACTTTTTCTTCGTATACGACTCCTTCATCACATGCAATTTCTAAAAATAGCCTTTAAATCCGGAGTTTTAAGGTCTATTATGGTTTATAGGCACATAACACCTTCATTCAATGGAAAACCTCAAAAATTTTAAAAATGGTATTTAACCCCTTCGACCACTCATATTTTCAATTAATATATTTAATCCGGATTTTTTTATTTCATGTTTTATTGCCCAACCGATTACGGCACGCCCTATCATTTACTATTGAAAATTTGGTATATAGATGTTAAAATAAATAATAATAATAATAATAATGGTTGGTTCGAAGTTAGTATCAGTTGAATGGAATATTTTAAATGTATTCAACTGATAATTATTTTTAACAAATATATATATTTTATTTGCTTGGTTTTGGTAATTTTAAGTATGTTTCAATGATACTATGAGGACTTGTTGTTGTTGTCTGAAATAAAATAAATCATTCATTCATTCATACATTCATTAGGGGATTCCCCCTTTTCTGTAAAGCGGAGACTAAAAACATCGCATCATACTGGATACCACCTCGCGAACTTTGACATCAATATTCACTATAGTCCTTCCTCTCTGTCTCTCAACATTTATTTATGTAAAGCTCTTGTTTTAATTATCACTCTCCTTATCCTTCGATCGAATTGTAGAGCGGAAGGTTGTAAATCCACAGATTAGATTATGGATTTTTTGAAATAAAATTCTCCAAAACATTATGTGATCAAGAAAATAATAAAATAGGAAAACGTACACTAACATCTCGGAGCGTGATCGTTTATTTCTGTCAAGGTCAACGACAAAATCTCACGCGACCACGGAGCGCAAACGTACCGTAAACTAATGATCAGAATGTGTTTTGATTGCGCGATACGATTTTGCGAAAAGACACAGAGGCGAGTCCGTTTAGCTGTGTTTAAGAGGCAATTGTACAAACCACTGTTAGCTTTTTTTTATTGCCTAGATGGGTGGACGAGCTCACAGCCCACCTGGTGCTAAGTTGTTACTGGAGCCCATAGGCATCTACAACGTAAATGCGCTAACCACCTTGAGATATAAGTCCAAATCCAAATAATGTCCAACGATTAAATTTATTTTATATTTTCAAATTTTGTCTACTGTATTTTTATTTAGGGAGACATTAAAGAAAAGAAAAATACAATTTCCAAAATGTTATAACGAAAATAAAAGACAAAACGACCAATGGTTGTATTTGTTTAAAAAAAATTAATCTTATAACGAATTAAAACTATTACAGACTAAGTTTAATGATGCGTGAACAACTAACAATGAACTTGAAAGATAAGTAATTGAAACACAATTAAGCACTAGTCTATATCGACTGAAGCACTGACTTTTTCTGGAAGATTCGTGGTCCGCGGGCGGCGTCTCTACCACTCCGCCCGCATGCGTACCCCTCAAAGACCCACAAGGAGTAATAAATAGGGGCGTGCGCATTATAATCTTTATATTTTGTCGATGTTTTTGAGATTTTATCTTTGTTTTTCGGTTACCTGTTATGTTCCTCAATGTTAGGAAACAAACGCGAGAGCGTCAGTGGTGGTAGATTCAGCGAAGCACTGCCCTTGCTAGGGTTAGTGTTAACTAATTACTGTAATGCTAATGTTACTGGAGGTAGGACCTCTTGTGAGTCCGCGCGGGCACCCTGCCTATTTCTGCCGTGAAGCAGTAATGCGTTTCGGTTTGAAGGGTAGGGCAGCCCGTGTAACTATACTGAGATCTTAGAACTTATATCTCAAGGTGGGTAGTGCATTTACGTTGTAGATGTCTATGGGCTCCAGTAACCACTTAACATCAGGTGGGCTGTGAGCTCGTCCACCCATCAAAGCAATAAAAAAAATCTCGAAGCTCCTTACACGTTAGATGAACATAGTATGGGTTATACGAGGTTATTACGAGAGGTAAAAAAAAAATAGCGTCAGGTAGATTACTATGTTACCTAATGATTATAAATCTATAATCTTCCTGCGTCTAGTTGATGAAGAGGCTCCGCCAAGTGGTCGGCCAGAGGTTTTTCGAGGCCATCATGAAGGCAACCTTCTACGGGCAGTTCGTAGCCGGAGAAGACCAGAACAAAATCCGACCGACTATTGAAAGGTTTGTACAGCGGTTCTTGAAGAAATTTAACACAAAATTAAAAACTTTAAATTATTTAAAAAAAAATTAAAATAAATATTTAATCTGTTCATAACCAATGAATGTATCTGTTCAACATTGTATCTGTTTATAATACGAGTAAACGTTTATATGATGATAATGATTAAAAACAGATCGAAATGTATATTGATGTAGGATTGGTAAGAACGGAACGTATGAAAAGAGTGTGGAACGGAGCGTTAAGATGTGAGCGAGAGAAAACGGAAAGAAAGGGAGAAGAGAATGACATACAGAATGAGAGAGAATTGGAAGATGGCGAAGACGGTTAAAAACTGAGCAAGGTGTAATAAGAGTGTTAATTAATTTTTAAATTATTATTATAACAGAAGATTTTGAAATAGTGGGAGTTTTATTTTATGTGTTGCCATTCCTATTCTACATTAATGTTCAAATTTATAGTTGTGTGTTATAAGCCCGAATGGCTAGGTACTACCATTCCGCTTATTTCTGCCGGAGAGGCGATAGATTTCTATTGTTCGTCTAGGATCTTGTAAACATCAGGTGTGTCGATACACTCGTATGTATTATCATTTCGTATAAAAGTGTTTGACCGTTTATTATACTTATATTGGAAATCGCCTTAAACGATAAGATCATCAACTTATAATTCTATGTTGATGATTATGACATAAGGCACACTCAACACAGCCCTAAAACCGATTTTCCATTTCAGGCTCCGTTCTTTCGGCGTCAAGTCGATCTTGGATTACTCCGTTGAGGAAGACCTGTCCCAGGAGGAGGCAGAGAAACGTGAAGTCAGGTAAAAATAATGTGTATTAAAGGTTTTGGCGAATAATTAAGACCCACAGACACAGCCCACTGAGTTTCTCGCCGGATCTTCTCAGTGGGTCGCGTTTCCGATCCGGTGGTAGATTCTGCGAAGCACTGCTCTTGCTAGGGTTCGTATTAGCAACTTTCCGGTTTGAGCCTCGTGAGCTCACCTACACACGCTAGGGTAAGCTGAAATAGCCTCTCAAGGCTATCAGCATAGGTAGGATAAAAAAAAAGCGAATAAATATAATCCGGCATCTTGCAGAGCACTGTCGGACGCGTTTAGACAGCATTATCGTGCTAATGACTTCTGCATATTTACTCGAATGTTGTATTTGAATATTAGAGAACAATTTTGGAAACACGTGGAAACCGTGACGGACTGACTGGGTTGACTCTCGCGTGAAATGTAGAGCTTCCTAATTAATGATAATTTGTTAATGTTTTGCATAATTCGTTCGATCAGATTGAAAGAGATCAGAGATTCCATAAAAATATATATAATTTAAAATCAAAGAAGACGATCTAATGGTAACCCAAAATAAATAAATAATATATTTAAAGTTTTTGTTTGTCCCAGCAATTCTGGTCCGGATTTATTATTAGGTTGACGTAATGAAATTTGTGTATTGTCAGCGGCACTTGATATACTTAAGTGCAGACTCAGAGGTTAATCGGAGACGTTTTGAAGTTAGTGAAAATTACATTGACAGATTCGGTCACAGGTGAAGTTTATAAAATTGTTGTAAAATTCAAATCAACTCAATGCTTGGATTAGGTTAGGGTTTAGGGTACCCACCCTGAGTATCGGCTCAAAATATCTTTTGGCTCGCGGTCTACTTCCTATATCTGCAAATACTCCGCATGCTTCCTATACGCGGATACCTCGTAGGAGATTCGGATCCCTGCCCGAAAAAAAAAGGGGTTTAGGGTTCCGTCGAAGATGACTATGTTAATGTGTTCTTAAACGTTTAGTTAGATTGCGAAAACAGCACGTTAGCATTTATTAAATTATAATCTATCTTTCGAATATACAGTGTGAAATCACGTGTTTAATCTTGCTCATTTAATGGGGAAGGCTCCTCCTGATACCATGTGTTCAGTTTGTGATGTAGTGGAAGATGCTTTTCACATTATGATGCTGTGTGCGCGGAACGATGATTTGAGACAACAATTCTTTGCACAATATATAGATTTTCGACAAGTCGTAGGTGTAAATTACGTATTAACCTTTCCGGAATCCAAAATTGCTAAGTCGCTTTTTAAAATAGTGTTGGTGGGCCTTCAGAGACGATAACAGTTTCCTTTATATTTTTATATAATTATTTTGTAACTCTCTTTTGTTGGATAATGGAGTGGCATATTCTTCTTCCTATTCGTACATTCTTGACAGAGTGGTCATGGTCATGCATCAGTCGGATCCTGCGATACCGATGCTCTCGCGATGCGACGCCATGTGGCACGATGTTTCGCAGAATGAGAGCAAACATTTATGTTGGAGTGAGTAACAGATTTTATGAGGTCGGTCCATCGTGTTGGAGATCGTCCGCGAGATCTTTTGCCCTCGACTTTCCCTTGCACCACCAACCGCTCAATGGAGTCCTCATTACGAGTGATGTGCCCGAAGAACTTGAGGATTCGTAATTGGACTGTTGACGATAGTCTCTCCTTGATGTTGAGCTCTTTCAGGATCGAAATGTTGGTACGGTGCGCGGTCCACGGAATTCTGAGGAGACGTGGCATATTCACTAGGTGAATAATTCATTAAATAAAAATAAAAAACGTGTTTAATCTGTTGTGAGTCCGTGCGGGTAGATACCACCACCCTGCTGTGAAGCAGTAATGCATTTCAGTTTGAAGGGTGGGGCAGCCGTTGTAACTATACTTGGGACCTTAGAACTTATATCTCAAGGTGAGTGGCGCATTTACATTGTAGATGTCTATGGGCTACTGTAACCACTTAACACCAGATGCTCTGAGAGCTCGTCCGCCCATCTAAGCAATAAAATAATAATAATAATAATAATGGACAGAAAATATGTCGTACTTCCAGAGTACGAAAATATGTCATACGTAATTACAAGTGGCGGATAATTTCTGAAAAAGTTAAAAGACATTGTAAATCTTGCGATCCATTCAAAAATCGGAAATGTTTTTAAACGGAAAATCGTTCTTAGTGTGAAGAGCAGAAGCTATATAATTCAATGAAACGAGCTCAGCACAACGGATAGCACTTTTGTTTTGCGAAACAATAGCCGTTGGCTCGATACGGTGTATCAATGGCTTCTTGTTTTGATGTCAAAAGTAGTTAGGCGCTGATGTGTTCCATTGTATTTATATATAGGTTCGATCCTCGTAGCAGCGTAGATGGTAGCGTAGCGTTTCTGTTGTACACTGTTATCGCTCAAACACAAAACTATCAGCGTCTTGGCTGTGCCTCTGTCTTTAGAACTGTCATCACAATAGTTTGCTTTTTTTATGGTAAACGGGTACATCTGCTCACGGCTTAGTTTATGTTTTTAGCGGAACCCAAAAACTTTTCAACAAAAATGACGCCACCCACCTAGAGACGCCTCATCACTACAAACTAGAACCCATGAAGCTTTTCGCGGAAGAAATAAGTAGGATATAGGTTGTTCAATAAAAATATGAACATTAGAATTTTATTGTAAAATTGTAATGGTAACATCTAATTCCTAATTAAGTTGCTAATTAAGCATCTTAATTTTATTTCATTTCACTCCATATTATCATTTTTCATAAAATTAAGAATATAAATTAAAATAAGACATGATGAGGTCTTAGTTACCAGGTCATAAAATTCCTTGCTGCTAATTTTATGATTTGCTCTTGGCAACCCTATCTTCCTTTCCAGCCTTTTAGCCCCGTGCATGGCAAGTTGTAATTATATTATAATAACATTAAAATAGACGCAAATGTTCATTTTTCAAGCCTGTATTTTATGTATACAGAGGTAGCTACACGTGTGGTATCCACGTACATACGATTATCTCCTCTTACCTCTTACCTCCAGTAAATAAGCAAGTTGGAAATTGATAGTGTTTCGCGCCTTATTCTCTAGGATATTGAATGTAGAATTTAATTTTCTCTATCTCGAACATTGCATATTATGTGCAATCAATTTCTATCGGTCAAGTAATTAAGAATGGTTTTAATCGCGTCGGCATCTCACGAAATTCTGTATTTATTTCGAAGAATTTAGCCTTTACCTCTGTGATTTACGATACATGTTGACTACGTTTATACGTGGCGAGCTAATTAGGAACTTTCGATAGTAAAAATTAGTAGATCTGAGGGCTCTTGCGTTCAACCGTAATTCACTCTAGAATTTACTACTACTACCCGTGTTACACGAGGGGATGCGCCTTTTCTTTGCGGAAGATTTCTTCAGGGAGTAGTGCTAATTACAAGTTCCTCTCAGGAAATACTGAACAGAGTCCTTTCGTTCTCTTCGACTAAAAAAATTAATACAAAAAGAAAGTCGCTCATGCTTTTATAAAAACACGGCCTTAAACAACAGACGACCTTCCTCGTTACGTAAATTACTATTTGAAGACGTAGTGTGGAGTAGACATGTGTACATAATATGACATAGAGGCCCGTGATTTTTGTCGGTTTTCAAATTTATATAAGAATTTTCTTGGTTTCATTTCCACAAAACTGCGCGCGCATACCTCCGTGCCTACGTCAAATAGTTCGAACAAGCCAACCGCGTTTTGTTATAATTTTATACGCGAACATTGTGTGTTGTTAAGCGAATACATGGGAATGTAAACATGTGCCGTTATTATGAAGTCGTCGTGGCCTAAAGGATAAGACGTCCGGTGCATTCGTATCAAGCGATGCGACTGTATCGGTGTTCGAATCCCGCGGGACAGATACCAGTTTTTCTAATGAAAAAAGTACTTAAGAAATGTTCACGAATGTGTTCCACGGTCAAAGAATAACATCGTGTAATAAAAATTAGGTCTGCAATAATTTTAATTTGCGTAATTACTGGTTGTAGGGCTTCGTGTGACGCCCGCACGTGTAGGTACCGCTACCCTGCCTATTTCGACAGTAGCAGTAATGCGTTTGGGCTTAGGGGCAATCGTTTTACTGTAAAAATTGAGACTTAGAATTAATGTCTCAAGGTGGGTGGCGGCATTAACGTTGTCCTACAGGCTCTCTTGAGTCTTATTCATTGTTTTTTATTTTGAAATTTACATTCAGCATGATGATGATGCTCTGTGAGATATCGTTGTTTGATTGTGTCCATCAGTGAGGGTAGCTCGTCATCAAAGAAAAACAACGACTTCACTATAATATTCGTATCTGTTATTAGCGTTTTGAAGCTGTAGAAATGACGTTGCGTTATCAAATAGAGATATGCAGATCATGCTAACGAAAGTTTGTTAAAAATTTATAAGCACGGGTCCTCTTGTAGGCTATTTATATTATTGGTGATAGGAAGTCGTCGTGGCCTAAAGGATAAGACGTCCGGTGCATTCGTATGTAGCGATGCACCGGTGTTGGAATCCCGCAGGCGGGTACCAATTTTTCTAATAAAATATTTACTCAACAAATGTTCACGATTGACTTCCACGGTTAAGGAATAACATCGTGTAATAAAAACGAAACCCTTGCGTTTCGGTTCGAAGGGTGGGGGTAGCCGTTGTAACTATACTGAGACCTTAGAACTTATATCTCAAGGTGGGTAGCACATTTACGTTGTAGATGTCTATGGGCTCCAGTAACCTCTTAACACCAGGTGGGCTGTGAGCTCGTTCATCCATCTAAGCAATAAAAAAAAACCTTTTGGTAGATACCACCATCCCGCCTATTTCTGCCGTGAAGCAGTAATGCGTTTCGGTTTGAAGGGTGAGGCAGCGGTTGTAACTATACTTGAGACCTTAGAATTTATATCTCAAGGTGGGTGGCGCATTTACGGTGTAGATGCCTATAGGCTCCAGTAACCATTTAAAACCAGATGGGCTGTGAGCTCATCCACCCATCTAAGCAACAAATCATGCTAACGAAAGTGTGTTAAAAAATTATAAGTACTGGTCCTTTTTTAGTCTATTTTATCCGAAAAAAGTGTCCGTAATGTGAATGATAGTTTAAAGATATATTTTCGCCTTTTCAGAGGCTGTATCTCAAGTCAAAAACCAATGGATTTAATTAAAAATTATCCAAGGAATTTCCCAGAACTTGCATTGACTAGGTTTATTTGTTTTTTTTTTATCTTTAGTTTATTTAGTTATTTTTTATTAGTTTGAGCACAATCACTGACACTTCAACAATTAGATTTCTCTTTACGTATTGCATTTTCTCTTTTGTTTTGTTATTTTCAATAGCTAAACAAACCGAAAATCGGTTAAGAAACAGAGGTTCAAATGCCACTTTGACTGTTTTGACTATTAATTTGTGTAAAAAAAGCTTAATTGATAATTAATGTTTTAAACATCCAAAAAAAAAAGGAAATTGTTGATAAACGGTGAAGAATATGGCATGTAATTTGTTTTTTAGTAGAAAATCTTTCTGAGAAGATCTATTGATGGTACTAAACCTAGTCAATTTTAATTAACAATAACAAATAAATTAAATCATTTGACAAACAGAGGAGAAAATGGTAGGTACTTAATTGTCTTTGCCTATTTAAAGTGTAGATTACGTAAAAAGTATTTTGAAGTCATGGGCAGTAAAGAGTTACGTGGTATATGTATGTAGTTCAATTATTATATTTTTAATCCCTTTTTTGGTCGATTTATTTTCATTTTCTGTATATTAGACCGAGTTATATAGTTTACAGTAAACGTTTTCTGGAATGGATTCATCCAATCATTCATTCATTGGTTGGATATGAATACATTCAATCCATAAAACTGGATTCTTTATGGTATTTTTTGGGCGCTATAACTTCTTTAAGCTTCGCCTTGGTTGTTTATTACTGGTGGTAGGACCTCCTGTGAGTCCGCACGGGTAGGTACCACCTTACCCTGCCTATTTCTGCCGTGAAGCAGTAATGCATTTCGGTTTGAAGAGTGGGGCGGCCGTTGTATCTATACTTGAGACCTTAAAACTCATATCTCAAGGTGGGTGGCGCATTTACGTTGTAGATGTCTATGGGCTCCAGTAACCACTTAAGATCAGGTGGGCTGTGAGCTCGTCCACCCATCTAAGCAATAAAAATAATAAAAGTATATCTAATGCTCAGGATTGACGGTTACCTCTAACCTTCAGGTGGACCATAGGATCGTCTATCTCCAACGACCATAAACGGACATAGTGAATGCATAATATATGTCAATACATTATATATAATTGAGAGAATATTTGGCTGTTTTAAATAAACTATAAAATTTAGTAAGTAACTAGCTGACCCGGCAGACTTCTTAGTGCCTCAATCGATAAATAAAAGACACATCAAGGGGACACATCAAAGGAAAAACAAAATTGTTTGTTTTTATATAATTCCGAGCTTTTTTTATTATTTTTTATTTAAACCTTCCCTGGACTCCTACGAATAATTCAAGACCAAAATTAGCCAAATCGGTCCAGCCGTTCTCGACTTTTAGCGAGACTAACGAACAGCAATTCATTTTTATTATATATAGAGATTTAGTAAGTAATTAGACAGAATGACATCTGTCAATTATTTTTACCAAAACGTCAACGAACTGAGAAAGTAGAGCAAATTAAAAATAAACACAATTAGGTTCACCTAGAAATCTAGAATCTTTGGATTCTTTATTCAGCTTCTACAATGGAAATTGAATCATTTGATAAAGAAATTGGTCTTAATATCCAATGTGAAGTTTTCTCTGAACTGTCATTTCGTTTGCCAAGTTTTTTGCATCGGAGAAAGTGATTTACGCTTTCTCTATGATCTTTTGAGCCACGAATGTTTAAATTAAATGTTTGTTTATTTGTAATTTTTTTGTTGAGGTAGGTTTTATAGTATCCGACGTGGGACCGATTGGTCGCAACTATTTTGGAGATTAATGACTGAGGATCGTCTGTTCTTTCAAATTGTATGGAATCATTTTATTAGTTCGATTTGCCAAAATCTCATGATATTTTTCAAAAATATAACAAAATATAACAAACAGTAGAAATTTTACGGATCTCGCCTACGTCTTTTTGTCCAAGTTCCATAACAAAAAACTGACTGAATCCTTAGTGTTGACTTTAAATACGTCTTCCTAGATTTCTAGCAAAGACTGAAGCTAATGTAAAAATAATTCAAATTTATTAAAATTTATTTTCTATTTTTTAGTTGAATTTTCTATAAAATTTTTTTGTTAATTTTTTTAAACTATTATTTATTTTCATTTTTTAGTTGAATTAAAAAAAAATCAATTTATTTTTTAAATATTGTATTGTCATCGGTCCTTAATAAGTATACCAAATTTTGAGTTAATCCGACGTTTTGAAGGGGGTCAAAACCATGTTGAAAGATTCCGTTACAAACGTACATCTGACGCTAATAAAAGCGTATTAAAAAGGAGATTTCTTTATCTTCAGTGCTTCTATATCCGCGTGCGGCGACATGCAAGAAGAGGGTCAGCTGAAGCAGTACCACGTAGAGCAGAGGTTCGCCGACAGGCGCTACAAGGTGACCAGCGCCAGGACCTACTTCTACCTCAACGAAGCCTCCTGCGAGAAGAACATGGAAGCCTTCTTGAGGAGCATTGATGCTGTCGCCGGTACGTTGAGTGTTTCACTCTTAGTTTTACTATAGAACAGATTGGAACAAAGAGTCCTCAAAGTCTCAGTTTCAAATCAAAGTACTCTCACGTTGTGGTGTCTATGAACTCTGATAATGGGCCAGCTTTAGACGAGCTCTGTGTTTCCTTCCTAGTTTAGTATAGGACATATTTTTCGGAACTTTGAATTTGGAACAAAGAGTCCTCAAAGTCTCAGTTTCAACTTAAAGTACTCTCACGTTGTGGTGTCTATGATCTCTAGTAACTAGCCAGCGTCAAACGAGTTCTAGTCCTGGCAAAGTTAGCATAAATGTGGTTTCGTTTTTTCGCAATTCTGTGAGTAATATGTTGCTTGGATCGCAGCCAATACAAAATAAAAATATATTACCTTGTTGACTTTATATTTCTAACTATTTTGTAGGTATTTATGTGTGTGCGTTTTGTATGTGTGAAAGAGAGAGGAACAAGGAGGACAAATATTATTGACAAATTGCGATTTTTTTCATCTGTCACATTTTTCGAATTCGACTGTGGAATCTAAGAAATTTCCAAAATACATTTGGAAATTTCTCAAACTGAAGATTGAATCATATTGTATTTATTGGATATTTTTTTTCATAATTTTTCAGGCATCACCAAGAGCACAGGGCTGATGGCCATCAAGTTGACAGCTCTCGGAAGGCCCCAACTACTTGTAAGTTGTCTTCATTGAGAAATTATTTGTAATGGGAATTTTAGTTTTCTAGTATTCAAAGTTTTAACCAAATAAAATATATAGCGTTTTTTTATTGACTCATCGAATGCCACTACTTAAATAAAAATTTTCAAATAGGTGAGCTCTCAGCCAATTGATTTTAGCACTTATTAGAGATGGATAAAGCCACCGACAGTTTAGAGCATCTGAGTCAACGGCGGTCTTCTTTGTAATTTGGACCGTATGTTTCATGGGGAGTGCTTTAGCTATGCCCTTGATATTGAATCTGATGTTTTTTTCACTGACAAATATAAATTTATGCGATGTACATAATGCCTTTAACGGTATATGAACTATATCTGATATGGAGTAGGAAGTTGACATCGGTAATGTTGAACAGCCAAGTGGTGGCCATACCGCTGCAGACTCTAAGTCTCTTTTGTAAAGGAAATAGGAAATATTTGGTAAATATGTGACTAAAGAAATCTTGATCGTTTACAAAAGACGAACTATATTTGGAATGTCGGTGTATCAAGCAAAAACATCCGCTCGAGAGATGGTTCATTTGCAACAGAAAGGAGTGACGTTTCTTAAATTCCATGTAAACGAAATGTATTCTTATGCACGGGGGCTCTTTTTTTTCCTACCTAAGCTGATAGCCTTGAGAGGCTATTTCAGCGTAACCATAACTAGTAGGTGAGCTCACGGGGCTCAAACCTGACGACGTTGCTAACATGAACCCTAGGAAGAGCCGTGCTTCGCAGAATCTACCACCGGATCGGAAACGCGACCCACTGAGAAGATCCGGCGAGAAACTCAGTGGGCTGTGTCTGAGGGTTAATTTACTCGTTGAGCCCTACGTCGCAAGCAACGGGTTCGACGAGAACGGTGACTGGTGCTTGAGGTACCTAAAAGCACCGTTAGTGGATCGGGAGGATCCGAAATGGCGTGTTTTGGGCAATGTCGACTGCTTTCCATTCTGTCCGCAGGATCGGGAATGACGGGGGCTCGGAATAAACAAAAGCTCTCACCAAAATACAATTTAAAACTCAATTTAATTATTACGACACTTAAGGTGTTATTACATGAATCGATTCGGGTGATCCGTTCGCTGTTTCGCTTCGAGTAGAACTAACTTCATGTAGTCGGGTCCTCATGTCCCCTTAGGGAGCACGGGTCGAGTCACCCCCTCTGCCCGGGCGTAGGCTCCATGCCCGACAAGGCAGGGGCGATTGCTGGATTGTTAATATGTGCCGGTGTGGGTTCCACTTCGGATCTTCCACTCTTTTCCATCTTCTCCCGTCCCGTGGCGACAGCTAATCTCCGTCGCTTTTTTAAATCATTATTTTGAAACTTAACCTAACTTATCAACCTTACAAATAATTACTGAGGTAGGGATGCCTCCTCAGCACTCCTCAGCACTCCTCGGAATGCTGAGGTGGCACGCACCACCACGCCTAATCCTGACTAGCCCACCTAACGTAATTACGGGCGAGGGAGGTAAGCCGCTACTCTTCGCTGGAGTCGTCTCCCCCCTCTCCCCAATTATTATAGTGAATCACGGAATTGTTGGGAGGAGGCCTGCAGCAGGTGTATTCTAACGACATATTCAAATAATTAGTTGATAGAGATTTTGGCAGAAGATGGCATTCTGTTAAACCACATATTATAATGAACTATACTTTGTAGAACATAAATTTAACAATTTGTAATTTTATTCCCACTCCATCAGATAACAAATGCATCATCAACGAATTATTTCTCGATGTACACTAGAAAGCTAAAAGTCTCAAGATTGAACTTGAAAATGTCTATTTCAGCTGCAACTCTCGGAGGTGATCATGCGCGCTCGTAACTACATGCAGCAGATAGCTGGTGGGACAGGCAACGTCCTGACTCACCACAAGACCATCGAGGACTTCCAGAGGTACTTCGGTGATCACAGCACCAAGCCCGAGGTCCAGCAGTTCATGAAGAAGATCACGTCTGACAAAGAGGGGTAAGGTTATCGAGTTGATTATATATTCTAAGTTTACTAAAGGTTTTTTAGATTGATTAGACTATAGTAGAATTATTTGGGTGCCACCAGCACTTTTTAGAAAATTTGTTTAAACTTGTTAATGTATTTAGAACCAAAATATGGCTTTGCTTAGAGGAAAGGGTAGAAATTGGCTTTTTCTTAAATTATGTTTATTAAATTTTTATCTAGTCACACACTTTGGCTATCGTATGTAATTTATTTTGAACTAATTCGCCTTTGAAGAGATTATCTATTTTGTTTTTTTTCCGTACTGTTATTATTCGAATCATATCAAGTAGAATCTTCTTTTGGGTTTCTCTCGGAAATCTAAATTCAAAATTTTTATTTGTACGTAAATTAGCATTTGGCGTTTTTTTTTTGAATTTTCAGCGTGCTTCATCTATTCCCGTGGGACCGGTCAGTGCCGACACCTTATACAGTTGTAAGCGTTGCCAAGTAAAAGTCGCTAAAAAAACGAATGTACATACATTCATCCCCCCCTACTCCCGTGCCTTGAATGGAAAACGAATTGGCTATTGGCTACTTGTGCCGTGACGAAAATTCGACCAAAATTTGACGTATCCCGAATTTGTATTTTTTTTGATGTGGAGGTTTTTTTTTGGAAATTTTTAGGCTAACAATTAACATTTTATTTGTTTTTTTTTTGTTTCTTTATATTTTTGAAAACTCGTTATTTTGTTAAGTTTATAATAATACAGTATTTATTGGCGCAAATCATAATGTTTCGATGATATTAATTAAAAAAAAAACCGGTATTTTAATTTCCTATCTGGGATGAACAAAAAAGTCTAGTTCAATTTTGTTATCAATTCAGTTACTAAGCCCAGCGTTATTGTAAGCTTCAAAGAAGCGAGTTATAGGTGTTATGTGAAATGCTATGCATAATAACAATGGATTTTGGTTTGCTTTTAAATGAAAATATCACACGAGAACAGACTATTGATCTTCCTTTTGTTTTTTAGGATCGTCCATTTATTCCCGTGGTCGAATATTCTCGACGAGGACATGAACTTGTCGGAGTCGTTTAGGGTGCCCGATCCTAAAACGGGTCAGATGAGGAGGCTCATATCACAGATATCGACGAAAGAGGAAGAGATGTTCAGGAATATGCTCCGCCGTCTCAACCACATCATCCAGGTGGCGAACGAGGCTGACGTGAGAGTCATGATCGACGCTGAGCAGACTTACTTCCAGCCCGCTATCTCGAGGATCTGCCTCGAAATGATGAGGAGATACAATAAGGTGCTAATTGTTTGCAATAAATACATGTTTTTGTTTTAAGTCGTCGTGGAGGTTAAGATGCCCGGTTGTATACGCGTATTGAGGAATGCAACTGTTCAAATTGTTCAAATCCCGCAGGCGGTTACCGAAATTAGTGAAATAAGATAATTAGTGTAATATTTCTCCATCTTTGAAGTATGGCAATTGTCTTCTTGCGACGCCATTGTTGCTAGTGTCGAATTTATAAAAATCTTAAATTATTAAATACATACTTATTCCGTTATATAAAAAATTATTTGAAGCGAAATAAGATGAAGCTAATTAATTTGAGACATCAATCAATTGGGATGTAATTAAATAAAAGGAGATGAGATAGGATATAATAAAGTCTCAAAAAAATGGTGGTTATTGGAATGTATGTATATTAATAACGTACTAGTGGTCCCGCAGAAGTCGAGATTCGACTTTAATCAATTGTAATTTTATGATAGGGTTTAAGTAATTAAACATTATTATGATTGTATTGTCAAATACTATTGTACTTATATAATATAATCACAGATTTTGTCAAAACTACACTATACCTAAATAATAAACAAAGACAAACAATATTCATCTATTCTCAATTGGACCACAGACTTTAAATACTAACAAAAGTTTGACAATTGACAATAAGCAAAGAGTATATTTATATATGTGTTGTGTCAAATACATGGTTGTGTGTGTAATGTTTTCTTTAGTGATTTAATGTATCTTTTATGCATTATTTAAAAAAAATATTAGCATTGTGCACTTCTTCTCTTTATTCTCTACAAGTGTGGAAAATTTCATACTCCTCCGTCCGCGCAATTTTCGTAAAAAGGGATACAAAGTTTTTGGTTCACGTATTAATATATAGATTATTGTTTTAAATTAATTTAATCTGTGTAATATTGATTCGTTATAATAATCGTATCCAGTATTCGATATTTTCTGCGGTGGGCAGCGGCTTTTGCGGTAGGCAGCGGCTTGGCTCTGCCCCTGGCATTGCTGAAGTCCATGAGCGACGGTAACCACTCACCATCAGGTGGGCCGTATGCTCGTCTGCCTACAAGGGCAATAAAAAAATAAAAAAATTCAGTGTTCCATGTGACATTGATGGGTACAAGGAGCGTGGGGCGTCCTCCAACCAGGTGGACTGACGACTTAGTGTGCACGGCGGGAAGTCGTTGGATGCGGAAGGCGGAGGACCGCATTATGTGGAAGGCATTGGGGAAGGCCTATGTCCAGCAGTGGGCAGATAAAGGCTGATAATTATGATGATGATGATGTGACATTTATGGGAACCTATATAGTATTAAAATGTTTGTGTTTGTCGTATTTCAGGACAAGTTCCTGGTCTTCAACACTTACCAGACGTACTTGAAGAATACGTACAATGAGATCGTGACTGATCTAGAACAGGCCCACAGGCAGAACTTCTTCTGGGGGGCGAAGCTTGTGCGTGGCGCTTATATCGAGCAGGTCGGTGCTATATATATTTTTTTCTTCTTCACAAAGTAACATTATTATAACGACAAAGTATTGAGTCGTCGTGGCCTAAAGGATAAGACGTCCGGTGCATTCGTGTTGAGCGATGCACCGGTGTTCGAATCTCAGGCGGGTACCATTTTTTCTAATGATATGCTTACTCAACAAATGTTCACGATTGACTCCCACGGTGAAGGGTCGTGTAATAAAAATCAAACTCGCAAAATTATAATTTGCGTAATTACTGGTGGTAGGATCTCTTGTGAGTCCGTGCGGGTAGGTACCACCACCCTGCCTATTTCTGCCGTGAAGCAGTAATGCGTTTCGGCTTGAAAGGCGCGGCAGCCGTTGTAACTATATCTCAGAGACCTTAGAACTATATCTCAAGGTGGGTGGCGCATTAACGTTGTAGATGTCTATGGGTTCCAGTAACCACTTAACACCAGGTGGGCTGTGAGCTCGTTCACCCCTCTAAGCAAAAAAAAAAGTCATAGTTCATAGTTTTGACGTTCTATTGTTCGCGGAGTGAGTGTCAATTTAACGTCAGTAATAATGGTAATGATTTTCGTGAATAATTCTCGTGAATTAGTCGTAAAAACTGTAATGCAGGATGACTGACTGAAGCAAAGAAAAACGATTGCAAGACTTGATATTGGTTTTAAGTAAAATGCCTTGTTTGATGTTAAGCGTTGTAGCTTATGGATCTGTCACAAAGATGCTGCTTTAAAAACGGGTTGTTAATTAAATATGGTATTATGACAGAAACCTTCTTTCATCACCATTTCATTGCATGGTTTATGAATTTGTAAAGGACAAACATACCAATTTTTTTTTTAATTATATTATTGTAGACTAGGCATCGCAGCGCATAAAATAAAACTTCCCCTGTTTCAAAACCTTCTGTTATAATAATAATTTATAAATTAATTAACACTTTTATTACGCCTTGCTCATTTTTTAACCGTCTTCGCCATCTTCCTTTTCTCTGTCATTCTGTCTGTCATTCTCTTTTCCGTTTCTTTCCGCTGTCTCTCTGGTATCGACTCTGTCTCTGGTATCGATAACACAATGAATCCTAATTTGGGGCCCGATAACCGTGCCGTTTTTTTTCCTAACTATTCTAGTAACCTCAAGGGGCTATTCTAGATTTACCGAATTAGTAGGTGAGCTAACGGGGCTCAAATCTGACGACGTTATTAACACTAACCCTAGCAAGAGCAGTGCTTCGCAGAATCTACCATTTTTACACGAATGAAAATCTACCGTATGAACGCCTGTGTGATTGTACGTTATAATAACGAAAACAAAGAAAACCTGCAGGACAATGCCGCGTGAATTCAACCAGCCCTATAATACTCCCTACATCAGACAGCACTACACCAGTGACCTTGAGAGAATAAAATATGACACATTCACCAATATTGTTGGCACGTTACAGGAGCGAGCACGCGCTGCCGCCATGGGATACGAGGATCCCACGTGCGAGAACGTGGACGCCACCACCGCATCCTTCCACAAGTGCCTCAAGGAAATTCTCAGCAGGGTTAAAGTAAGCTTAAATGAATTGATTTGTTTAATACAATCAACGGAAACAGCGTACTTTACTGCACGTTTCTATGAATAGCTTGGCTCGATAATTCATGATGTACCCATATTATTATTACGTTTAGTATTTATTTCGGTTTTTCGAATCGCAGACAAAATTAAGAGTGTATTAAGGTTCAGTTTCGCGCGTACTAATCATTTTAACTTGATTTCATTATTTCCGATGTTTTTAAAAGCGTCCGGTGCATTCGTGTTGAACGATGCAACGGTGTTCGAATCCCAGGCGATTCGCGATTGACTTCCACGGTAAATGAATAACATCGTGTAATAAAAAATCAAACCCGCAAAATTATAATTTGCGTAATTACTAGTGGTATGGCCTCTTGTGAGTCCGCGCGGGTAGGTACCATCACCCTGCCTTGCCTGCCCACCCTGCCGTGAAGCAGTAATGCGTTTCGGTTTGAAGGGCGGGGCAGCCGTTGTAACTATACTTGAGACCTTAGAACTCATATCTCAAGGTGGGTGACGGCATTTACGTTGTAGATGTCTATGGGCTCCAGTAAGCACTTAACACCAGGTGGGCTGTGAGCTCATCCACTCACATCATTGTTAAAAACAAACGATGCGATTTGTTGTTCCAGTCCGGCAAGACCGGCCTCGGCATCATGGTGGCTTCTCACAACGAGGATACTGTCCGCTACGCCATTCAGCTGATGAAGGAACATAATATCAAGCCTGAAGACAAAGTCGTCTGCTTCGGTCAGCTGCTTGGAATGTGTGATCACATCACTTTTCCTTTAGGTATGGATTGAATTATTTAATTCATATAGACAAGCGTATTGGAGCGCGGTTCGTTTGATATTGCCGAAGTGATCCACTTAACGGCTTCTATGCATTGTGGCTCAATCGGCCCAATTCCGTCCGGGACACAACTCGGAAGAGCTAGGATGACTAGAACACTGCCATCAGAAGCGGGGGTCTACCCCGGGGACGCTTGGCCGACAGAGTCGTCAGCAAAATAACTTTTCGTCAGCTATCGCAGTGGACGGCTCCTTAAGGGGGCATAGGCATTGCAGCTGGTTTTCCGGTACACCTTACCGAACCAGAACCAGGTCGTTCTTTCGGAGCACGATACCGTCAACAAGAGGGAGCCTCCTTGACTTCAAACCCGCGGCTGAAGGGGCGGTAGCTCGCCAAGCGGATTCGGTCTCTCAGTTGACTCCGAACCGTCACCGAGGGAGCCTTGTGGAGGGTGGCGTCCTCCACAGGGCTGTCACCTCATATACGTTAACTTTAATAAAGATCAGATTATAAAAAGTGAGAACACCATTACGAAGAAGTTAGAAACGGTCTGGTTGTTCCGAAATGACTATTCCCATATGAAATCTTTAGACCTTCATTGGAAGTTCGTCGTGACTGTTGTTTTCAGGTCAAGCTGGTTATTCGGTCTACAAGTACGTGCCATATGGACCGGTAGTTGAAGTCCTACCGTATCTATCGCGGAGGGCGAACGAAAACCGGGGTTTCCTCAAGAAAATCAAGAAGGAGAAGAAGCTACTCCTCAAAGAAATCGTCCGCAGGGTCGTTTCTGGTCAAATGTTTTACAAGCCCATCGGGAATTACACGCCTGTCTAAATCACTAATGCCATAAAAATTGTCCAGTTTTTTTCCGTTTTTTTTCACCCCGACAGCGCTATTATTATAACGCTTAATAGCGTAGCGTTTTATTGAAATAGCAGCAAAGTAGCAGCGCTATCGGTTAATAATTAGCAGCGTATTATAATTAGTCGTTTTCGGAACTATCACCGAGGAACGAACTGGTGATGAATGACAATGAAGTTTCATCAAAAGATTTACGACTATCGTTCACTTTTAACTATCTGAAGAGCGAAAAATAGTATCTTTTATCGGAAATATGCCTCAGTATTTATTTGTCCAAATAAAGTACAACGCTTACGTTTAGTGTTTTGAAACATGTTTGTTAATTATTATATATAGCAGTTGTCCATAATATGCGTAGTGGTTATTAAAAAAATAAATATTAAAAAAAAAAGTAGGAATTATAAGTTTGTAATAATTTATAAAAAAAAATTATGGGAAATAAAATATATAAGTACCCACATAAAGTTATCATAACACAGGGTTTAACTTTGATGAGACATGTTGTTATGTAACCGTTGAAACTATAATGTTAATAACTTGGTTATGAACCTGTTAGTGTGGTATTTGAATCATGATAAAAAGTTACTGAACCATTTGTTCTTTTTTTTTTGTTTTTTATAAACTAAATATTTCGATGTGTTTTTTCATTAAATCACGTGTTGCAATTTTATTGTCTCAGTCTATGTCTTTTATACAATTCAAAGAGTGCTAAAGATATCTGGTGAACATTAAGCCGCCATCACATCGTCAATTGCAAAGCTTATCTGTAAAGTCGTGGGTCCATGAACACGAAAGAAGATTAAAATGTTTTTTGTTAACTCACACGATGCGGTGACAGCGATTATAACAGCGGTAATAGCGGTAATAGCGATTTATTTCCGTCTTAAAATGCTCGAAGAATTATGAATCTCACTCGAAGGTATTAAAGACAATCGGCTTACGGGTTCCGACGATTTTTTTTAAAATAAAATCGTATGATTTCAAAATCGACAACCGAAACTGCTTTGATAAATAAAAGTAAAAAAAAGGGAAAAAGCATTTTCGTATCCTTATTTTTTCAGTTACGTTATTTTAAGTATTGTGTTAGTCCTGTTCATATTCTGTGTTCTGTAATAAGGTTTTATTTATTTATTTATTTATGTATTGATTTAGACGAAACAGGTTTATTAAATTGACACGATTAAATTTAAAAACGTTTACAAGAACCTATGATTGCTATGATACTTTTGACTTGATTGCCTTGCTTTCACTCTTTGGGAGTGTCGTATGAGTGTGAGCAAGACAGAAGGCAAGTCGAAAGATATTGTTTAAAAGATCTTGCGTCTTGTTCCTATGCTGTAAGAATTTAAATTATTTATTAATATGAGTATTGTGTTAAATACATCCGGCTTATGTTTTTATGGATAAATATCTTGCAAATGGAAGAAGCGGCTCACTGGACGACAATTTGAGTATTACAATGAAATTATTCTATAATGTACTTAAATTCTAGAATGCGGGCGTAATTGTAGCGACATGGCTTGCGCTACGTAGGTACACTAGATCAGTGATTCTCAACGGCACTTTTGTGTGCCGCCAAATTTCAAAAGTGTGCCGTCAAATTTTGCGAATATATAATAATGTTAATATTATTAAATCATATCATTGTAAAAGAAAAATATTTTAAACATGAATATAATAATATATTTAAATCCACAAAAAAAATAAAATTATAGTATATTTTAGTTTATTTCGTATATTAAAATTTTTTGATAAACTATTTAAGCAGTGTGTTGTAGTAAGTAAATAATTTTTATCATTTTTTTTGTGTGCTGCCAAATTTTGAAATCGTTAAATATGTGCCGCAACAAAAAAAGGGTTGATGAGAATCACTGCACTAGATATATACAAAAGCTCTGCATAAAATTTAGTAGTATTTTTTTTATTTTTTATTTCATTGTTTTAAAACAATGTTCCTTAATGATTGCTTTATTTTAAAATCGCAAAACGGGCCTTTATGTTCCGTAAATCAATACGAATCTATATGAAGGATTAGGTTTAATTTTGCAAGGAGCTTAAACATTTTCTATATATGATGAATACTGTTTACTCGCATATGAGTCGTCTATTATCAAAGGTGGCAATCTGTGCATTTGGACAAAAACTTTTTATTGATATGTCAATACAGATTGATTTGAATATAATCGTCTCCTTCAAAGAATACGGTTCAAAACCTGCATTAAATAAAGGTTAATAGTTAACCTGTTATTTATCTAAGATGTCGTTCAAAAGAGTTTTGTGACTGCCAACGGAATACAAAGTCAATAATTCGTTTTTCTGATTTACCAATAATTATCCAAAAGTCATATTGCCGGCTTTGATAATAGTCGACTCATATGACGAATACTGTTTACTAGCATATAGTGTTCGTCTGTGTCAAAAGTTTTCTCCCTTCTTGTGGTTGAACTTCAAACCTTTTAAACCTTCAAACCAAAAACGACCATACATATAAATAAATAACAATATAATTTGCGTAACGCTGTAACGGGATATAGCGTGTTGTTATAAGCTTGTCGTTATAAGCTATAATTAGTATTAGCGATTTTAGCTACAATTGGTGCAGCACTTAACAATCCTGTTAAATCTCGTTATGACGTAACGTTATGAACAGGGCGGGTCGGCGGTGTCGCCTTGAATAAAAACACGGTCTTTCCTATCCTTATAAATGTCTTAAAATAGATTTATTGAGCAATCAATTTACCTAGAAACTTTGTATTAAAGTAAAAAAAAAATATTTTTGCGATTTTGAAACTTTTTCAGGCAAATGAATAAAATATGATATGACATTTTATATTTTATTCTTTAAAATGTCATTTCAATTTAAATTAATTATCTGTGAAAGTTTCATTATCAATCTCGCACATTATTTTGGCTAATGAAATATTATTTACATCTTGTATTAAAAACAACGATTGATAGTATTTTGTTAGATGTGTGTCGGTCACTGACCCCGCCAAAACTAAAAGGATGCATAAAATCATTAAATTGTTTAAATTATGATTCTGTGCCTAAACATGTGGCGTGTTTAAAGGCTTCGTCAAACAAAACGCGTACTTAGCGCGGGTCAGAGCGCTAAACTAACGCCGCGCTATGACGCCGAGATGTGTTGTACTACTATGGTAACATACCGTCACACAGAGCGCCAGCGCGTAGCGCCATTACCATTAGTACCAGTTACCATAGTAGTACAACACATCTCGGCGTCATAGCGTAGCGCTCTGATGCGCGCTAATTACGCGTTCTGTTTGACGAAGCCTTAAAGGTTTTTGCCGGCATTCTTGAAGGCTATACGCGTCCGTGTTTCGATTTAAGGTGACGCCGCAGTAAACCTGTAATATTAGTTCTCTTTACGTCTAGTTAGGTAATAAAGAAATTAAATTTTATTATTCTTATTTTTCATGTATCCTATTAGTATTTTTTGTATATAATTTGCTATTATCAAATTTAACAAAAAAATATGTGATTACATTTTTTGATTTTTATTTTACGTTTTACGTAACAAAATAAAGACAGAGCTCGTTTTCAGTTTTGTTGTTGTTTTTATTTCTTTATTGTTTATTTTGGACGCTCGCGTTTGCAAATGGCGTACCTCGGCTTGTCCTGGCAAGGATAAATTTCGATGGTCGTTTATTTGCCTTTAATTTTAATGTCAATTATATGAAATGTGTAATTTGTATCTCTTTACAAACGAAAGTCGTATTGCGAATGAAGAACAATACGCATGGCCTATTAGGAATGTGTTTAAATTGAATGACTTCAAAATGATGACTGGTTCGCCGAATGTCAAACATAAAATAGCAACGATAAATAGCATTATTATTTAATTAGGAGTTGATACAGCGTGTAGTTTGATTGTCTGATAAAAAAAATGGCGTTTGTTGATCGCACGCCATGTTGTTAGAGTGTTGCCAATTTTGAAAATTTAAATCTGGCATGATTTTTAAAGCCCAATACTGTCTTGGTATTCTTTACTAATGGTCTCGATTATTTTGGAAATATGATTAATGGCATAGACACTGGTGGCATTGAACTTATATTCTGACTTTGTTATTTCACAAGTACTGACAACATTATGGACCGAGACTGGTGAATGGCGATACGACTCCTTCTGATTTATTTGAATGTTTCAAACCAATGTTTAAGTTACAATTAATATGGCTTTCTATTAAGTACCTTCATTATCGAACCAGATTGAAGATACTACTTGTACTATTTGCAAATTTAGAAAATCCCATTATTAAATAATTAGAGTTGGTATTTGGCAATGACATTTCGGTGATGTGATCAGTACAAACTTAAATACAATATGTAATTTTTTTTGAAATTTAAATATCGTTATTTAACTTTGTAGTTAGGTAATACTAGAAATTAACATCGACTAGTACGCCATTGTTCTAAGGTCCCGTTCCCAGTGTCCCCTATCCCAATAAGCACGCGACTTACAAATAATCGAAAAAGGCGAAATGTTGCCATTTATAAATTTTTTAGTTTTTTTTAGATCTAGAGTTAATTAAGGTCTAATAAACACAACAGCCTCAGAACAATTGACTTAATGTCGCCAAAAATCCTTTTTTTTATAGATTGTAACACAGACTTGTGACATGCCGTTAATTAGAAGAAAAGAAAAACAGACAATAAAATTTGACTGTATTCATAATATAGATGTTCTGTGTAATTGTTTCTATGCCATAGTATCTAGTTTTGTTGTCATCAGGATATGTGATCAAAACTTGATTGCTATTGACAATATAACCGAGCTTTCTTAAATCATTAGTGTTGAGAGCAATTGTTTAACTTGAGAGTAATTGTAGTCTGTTTTGTGTCTAAACTATTAGTAACATTTCTTAACGAATTAATGCAACTCTGAAAAGGTGTTTTATAAATTAATTAAAATATGGAAATTGTGGAAAAGTCAAAAGTAAGGGCAAATGAAGGGGTAAGACGAATATCCGAGTATCTTGATGATAACAGAACTTGATTAGTTTTTAACGGCGTTAAACAGTTAATAAATGTTCGTGTTGAATCTGAGTTTTATTTTGCGTGTTGGTTTCTCGTCCTGAGTCTTCTTTTTGGACTCTTTTATGTTCGGTTCGAACAGACAGCTCTACTCAAAGGGTCACCTAGTACATCGGTTCTCAACTTTTTTCACACAGTGACGCACTAATACTTTTTAAATTTTTTTCCCTACCTATGCTGATAGTGTTGAGAAGCTATATCAGTGTCAAGTATAGTTCAGTTCATCAATTATAGTTACAACGGCTGCCCCACCCTTCAAGCCTAAACGCATTACTGCTTCACGGCAGAAATAGGCAGGGTGGTGGTACCTACTCGGGCAGAGTCACAAGACGCTCTACCACCAGTAAATCTAGCTTGTTTAATTTCCACATAATATAGTAGAAAATAGAGAAACGTAATTAGATGTCATTTAGTCTACCAGTTCCGAAACTTATTCAGTGGTTATTAACTGCATAATAATAACAATGAAAACGGTCAACAATCATACTTTATTCACATAATATACATTTATTACAATTTATTGAAACAATGTAGTGTGTGAAACAATATAATGTATTTTAGTTTACTGACTTGGGATCCGCATATTTGGCCATGCCAACAATAATGACAGACATTGTTATGACATTAAAATGTTCAGACTCAAAAGACTGAGTTGACAAAGCCGGTTTTACGTGCGTTTCAAAAGCAGCGTTAAAAACAGTCATCGACGCTAAGTTTTTAATGGGGAAAAAAAAGGAAAGGAAAATTGTAGTTATCCTTTCCAATACAGTTAATTATTTCTTGCTTCTTAAAGATTACGCTTACTTCTTCGTCTTTTTTTACAAAGTTAAGATACATGACTGTTTTTAATAGTAGGTATGTGGTTTTTTTTTCAACCACGCTAACTTCTTACTTCGTACATTGTACAGATATATTCAATTAACATTAATATGAACATTTCACAGTAAGATGTAATAATACCCCGCGATAACAGTTTGCGCTGGAGCGAGCAATCCCGATGCTCAACTCTTTATGAGACTATCAGTATTATATGAGACAAGAATAAATACGCCGGACCCTAATTACGAAAGCTCTGTATTGAATTTAGTATATTAACTCCGAAAGGGAATTGAAACCAGAGCCTTTGGGGTCTGTTTGTCTAAGTACCTCGGTACAATAGTCAGGGCTACTGATCACCACTCCGATGATTAAATGTCTCACTATTCGCGCTATAGAGTCCGCCATTCTCACGGCAATAGTAAAATTGTCGCAAAATTTTTGAAATTGACTCCTTAATAATGTTTTGTAATTGAAGTTATAACTAATTTCTTATACGACAAAATCGTGCAGTAGCCAAGAAAATAGTATGAAATATGTGCATCGGTGCTAAAGAAACGCTGGCTAACACGGAAATAACCACTTTGACGGTTGTCAAACTTACTTTTAACTTCCACAATGTGGAAGCTAAGAGTTTTTTTATTGCTTAGATGGATTGACGAGCTCACGGCCCACCTGGTGTTATGTGGTTGCTGGAGCCCATAGACATCTACAACGTAAGTGCGCCACCCACCTCGAGATATAAGTTCTAAGGTCTCAGTATAGTTACAACGGCTACCCTACCCTTCGAACCGAAACGCATTACTGCTTCACGGCGGAAATAGGCGGGGTGGTGGTACCTACCCGTGCGGACTCCCAAGAGGTCCTACCACCAATGATAAAATACAGAGGTTAAAATTAGGTGACCTATGCAAGCATGCCGTTTAGCAGAATATAAAACTTTAATAGAATATTAGATATGATCTCTTATTAATTCCTGTCTATCTATTTATTTGACAGAAAATTTCCACTTTACATTATTAATACTAGGAATGGTCGATAGGATTTTCACTGTTTTTCGATACAGATAAAGGGAGTTGGCATAGTGCCTCAATGCTCGCATGGCTGAGATTGTAAAAAAATATAATAATAAAATCGTCTACGTCCTCAGCGATAGCAAAGCAGCTATCAAGGCACTGGTGGCTTGTAAAAGAGACTCAGAATTGACACTGTGTTGCAAACAGACCTTCAATAAACTGGTTGGATGCAAAAATGTCAATCTAGTCTTTGATCCCTGGACACACTGGTGTCGAAATAAATGAAAAGACTGAGTGAGCATGGTGGCTTCTGATAAAGTTCCAGATTAATCGGATAACCTAAACTATTTATAAGAATTCATATCCACTGGGAGATTACTACAAAACTCATGAACCCTGGAAAGATAATGAAAAGTTGGGAGTTAAGAAATGCCAAAGAGGTTTTACGTGAAATTATTACGAACCAAGTTAGTAGGCTCTGTATAACTTAGACCTTTATTTGGTCCCACATAGGGCATTTTGGCCCTAGGGAGGATCTGGGTGGTACGAACCTGGCTGACCACGTAATCAACTGATTTCTACATAAAGGAAGTGAAGACCATGCATCACTTGCTTTGTGTCGGCCTAGCAAGGATAAGGATGAACATTTAAGACTTGACGTTCCCCTGTTCTCTACTTTTATCCCCAAAACCACTAAAACCACCACAAAAACACTAATCCTCCTATAGCAATGGATAAAAGAGACATCTTGGTCAGGATAACTATGACCTGACATCTCCATTTTAAACCTTGTTAGGCCAACGTATTCAAAAAGTATATTATGATGACCACCTCCTTTAACTTGATTCACCAGCCAAACACGTTTTGCAATCACGAAAATGACTAGCTAATTTTATATTAGTTTCACTAACAAACTATTATAGGGCACATTAGAAACTCAATTCCGAAGTATTAAAACTTAGCTTACATCCCATAGGCGAATGCCATGATGTTGGTATAACATCGTGTTTTTAATAATAATTTATTATATTTTCTTTGGTGTGAATCTTAATTATTTTAGTAATGCAAAAATATCTTTTAATTTCAATATCAGATAATTTAGTATAAATATCAATCAATACAACAAGGAATAGAATAGTAAAATTCTTAGTTTTATAATCTTATCTTATCTGATTACGTTGATGTGTTAGTAAATTCATTTGTAATTGAAAAGTTTTACCCTAATTGTTCTCCAGCTATTTTACGAAATAACATTAAATTTTTAGATACACAATTCTGCATTTTGGTATATCTGATGCAATTGACACTTTGCAAGGCAGTCAACGGCTTTTTGTGGTGTCGTCTACCAACACGGATAGCCCTTTAATATTATTTGACAGACTTTCTGTTTATCGACCCAAAAAAATATGACACTACAAAAAGCTCTTGAAGTTTCATTCTCTACGTAGATTGAAGCAATTATGTTGTAGCAGTAGATATCATAGAAGGATGGGACTTATTGAAGATTGCATAGTCAACAAGATAGAGTGTTACATAAACTATAACTAACACACAAGTAAACCACGTCAAGTAATTGTCCAACTGTTATAAAACCAGTCTAAGTAGATCACCTAAACATGTAGTTTTTCACTCTCGACCGACAAACAACGTGACATAAGAACATTGAACACCTTGAAAAAGTCCAAGCTTAACTGATGATATGGCAACCCTCGACTTCTTCGTCTGCCGGATTCCCTAGAGGTGCCAGCTGGGTTGCCGTGGGTCTTCGCTAGGATCTATGACGGTTGGCCTCACCTGAAATACGAAATTGATTTACACCATTCAAAAGAAATCGTGTGTGTCCGTTCCACTACTTCGTATGTTACCATTCTGTTTAAGGATTTGGACAGATATTTAATGGACATTTCGCTTCTTGACGATATGTTGTATTGTTCTTCTAACTCTATACTTTATATCTATGTATAGTTCGCATGAGTTTCGGCAATTAATCTCGTTGCGTTAACATCACTTTAGACGCGTCTTCTTGTTCGTATAATTGCGTCATATCTGTAGCTTATTTTACTACCTAATTTCGTCAGCTTTTCCTAATAACTCCTATTTTAATTGTCACACTTGCATGCTGTGAGTCCGCATGATACAAGGCGGGATAAACATTGCTTTAACACAGCTGACCATACGTTTTTTTTTTAATAATGATTGAACAAGTTTGTAAGTGGTCACCAGAGCCCATAGAAATTATAAGATAAATGCCGTGAAACAAGCTGCCTGGGTCATAATTGTTTAACAACTGCCCCATTTACATCGGAACGCATGACTATTTCATGGGAATTGAGAATTCTATTGTTCAACGAATTTGCTAATTCGCGCGAGGAATATGCAGAATGATAGTACTTCATAATGAGCTCTACTAATAGGGTACTAATACCAGTTACGAAAATAAAAAAATTGGGCGGCTTTGATTTGTAGTACCGAAATGCTACTCCGATGTTATGTGTCCTGACCATTACTTGTGAACACGTCTTAGATACGCATTTTTTTTATATAATTGGTATCTGCCAGGGTTATCGACGCAAGGAGGTAGAGCAGCCGTTTATACTCGAATGGTATGCCAAAGTTAACTGTTTATAATCCAATTATCACCTTTCCTCATTCGAATCTCAAGTGCAGTGTGAGATGCCAGGGCTGCCGCCAACGCTGCTGCTAATGCAGGTAGCTGCGTCCTTACGCACAGCGAGTGTCTCGCTGCACACGCGAGGGCCAATCCTGTGTGCCGGGCGCACAGCACTACAGACCAAGGACCCCGCCACCCTGGGCCGCCGATGCAAAGACCACCCTGATAACAAAAACATGGCTTGAAGGAGATTTTTATTGCTTTTATCTGTGACCATGATTACCGAAGCCCGAAGATACCACCACACCGTGATTACCGCTTTCCAAGACATGAGCCTGTGCCACCCCTCAAGTGAAACGCAAGATTGCTTCGTACTAGGGCGGAAACTTTCTTTCATGCAGCAGTAGTGCCAGAATCAACCAAAGTGAACTAAAAAGCAAATGTACCTGTAAGACATCCCAAAGTGCTGAACAAGCGCCCCACGCAGCGGCTGCGAGTGCTGGTAGCGCAAGATCAGTTCTAGCGGCCCTCCACCTTAGCAGAGCTAGCACGAGGCTTGCATGTGCAGCTCCTCCTCCAGCCACTAAAGCCCCTCGGCGACCTCTAGCCGCAGCCATACTTAGAGTACCAGCTGCAAGAGCCTGGAACGCTCCAGCACCGACTAAGGCCCGCCATGCACACCACCAACCGTCCACACATACTCCGTACCACTGAAAAGGACGCATTTTATGCATGGATGCACATTGTAAGAATCGTCGTCGTCGAAGTCGTCGTGGCCTAAAAGATAAGACGTCCGGTGCATTCATGTTGAAGCGATGCGCCGGTGTTCGAATCCCGCAGGCGGGTACCAATTTTTCTAATGAAATACGTACTCAACAAATGTTCACGATTGACTTCCACGGTGAAGGAATAACATCGTGTAATAAAAGTGAAACCCGCAAAATTATAATTTGCGTAATTACTGGTGGTAGGACCTGTTGTGAGTCCGCGCAGGTGGGTACCACCGCCCTGCCTATTTCTGCCGTGAAGCAGTAATGCGTTTCGGTTTGAAGGGTGGGGCAGCCGTTGTAACTATACTGAGACCTTACAACTTATATCTCAAGGTGGGTGGCGCATTTACCTTGTAGATGTCTATGGGCTCCAGTAACCACTTAACATCAGGTGGGCTGTGAGCTCGTCTACCCATCTAAGCAATAAAAAAATAAAAAAAACAATTCTTGCTAAACAGTATTCAAAGGCAAGCCTGCAAGCTTCGAAGACACAAGGACAAAAAACACAAACTTAATGATCATGTTACCGGAATGTCATATAGCGCACAGATTTCAAGTCGACCTTCGCTTAGATCGTATATCGTATAGATTCGTAACATCGTGTAGTTAATAAAAATCAAACCCGCAAAATCATAATTTGCGTAATTACTGGTGGTAGGACCACTTGTGAGTCCGCGCGGGTAGGTACCATAACCCCGCCTATTTCTGCCGTGAAGCAGTAATGCGTTTCGGTTTGAAGGGTGGGGCAGCCGTTGTAACTATACTAAGACCTGAGAATTTATATCTTAAGATGGCTGGCGCATTTACGCTGTAGATGTCTATGGGCTCCAGTAACCACTTCACACCATGTGGGCTGTGAAGCCGTCTACCCATTTAAGCAATAAAAAAAAGATGAAGTAATTAGTAACAGGTAGTAGTAGCGGGAATTTAAAACATTCTTACCTTAATGTAAGAAGTGTATATAAACCCTTGCTGTAGACCTATAAACAAGCCCATAGGAGCTCCAAGAAGTGCCCTTGGATCCCTAAAAATGGAACGGGCATCCGGTGGTGGCGCTGGACTTGATGGAGCTCCGTACACTCCTAGTCCTATCGATGATAATGATACAAATGCCCAGACAGCTACGAGGACCCTTCGTCCATCAGCGTTGAGGACTATACCGATAGTGGACTGCGTGTCGGGGCAGCCAGCGGCACCACACGTGGTTTCCTGGAAAATAAAACACCATCATATTTAATAGCTTGCTAGTTTCGGTTTTTTGTTTGAAGATACGCTATGATGATGCAGATATGCTATGATATCTAATGCAACTCAGACTTCGATCAGATGTACCAAGATGAGCAGTTTTACTCACACGAAGCTTTTGATAGCTTTTTTACATTAAGGGAGTCGTAAGCTTGTCTGCTTACCTATTCAGCCAGTCAGTCTGCTCGTAAAACTATTCGTCCTATATTTTATTATATACTAAATTAGATTAGATTATAAACTAAATCCACTGCCATATTGCCACTGCAATAATATATTTATAGTTTTACTGATAGACTGACTGACCATATAGTTTATAGTATTTAGACTCTTTATACTTCGAAGAGGTATATACTTAGACCTGCATGTTATTGTTACGGCACGCATAAAAATGAAATAGGTCTGTCATAGAGGTTGGATATAGAAAGTCCGCTAATTCGAGAATCTGGAACTAGTACTTAATAAAAAGCGATTTCACCGGTTACTGTTTTATTTAAATTTCTATGTATTACTCTATCCACAGTTAGCGGCTGGTCTGATCAAGGATCTCCAATACCATCAGTATTGGTTGTTAATATTTTTTTAAACAAGAATGTATAGCTTGTAAGGCTGAATTAGTAAAAAAGAATATCAGCTCTTTCAACTATAAAAAGTTCCAATACCTCATAGTTGTCCTCCAAAAAGTAATCATCTACAGGAGACGACCACTGTGATAATGTCATATTCAAGGGAGCATCAGTTTGTTGAGTGACATTTTCGGGCCAAATAATTAGCGCTGCACCAAGAAGGAGAGACCCAAACACCAGACCCAAGTCGTGAGCCGCTCTCAGAGCCCTCAGTGCCCGTCTCAAAGCTATTTTTCGTCTACTTTCATCACCCGCCGCCTGCGCTAAAGAATTGGCCGAGGCTGCAAGAGCTAGAGACATTGGTGATAGACTCAGCCCACACAAAGCGTAGAGAAACAGAAGAACAGACAGAGGAGTGGCCACTGTGTGCGCCGTTAGAAGAATAAACACCAGTATGTGAGCTACAGTTATTACTATCCTGTTACCAGTCTTCTGTAGTATTAGAGGTGCGAATGGGGCTGTTATAGCCGCTATCGAGTGCATTATGGCTAAAGGTAGGGAACCGGCTTCTGCTCCAGCGAATGCTGTGAATGGATGTAGGGCTGTGGCACAAAGACCACTCGAAATACACAAAAGGGTGAATCTGTGCACTAAAGTCCTGGGTAGTTTTTGGGGTGGGCGAGCCAGAAGTCTCCGGACTGATGCGGCGCCAAGAGAAGAAGCAGCCGATTCTCGTCTTCTGGCAGATACGGCGGGGCCTACTCGAATAGGGGTCTTCGATTTCCTCCATGGCCAATCTTTCTTATATATTGCGTTCACTGGTATCTGAAAGAGACAGACGTTATAAAATATTTTAACTTAATTACATTAGAGAAGAGTAAATTACACCTTATTGTTAGGTAATATATCACAACAAAAACAAAAGAAATACAAATCATTAAACAACAAAACCTATTATTAATTACTTTCTCTATAACTTTAATTAGTAAGCAGCATTTTAAACTAATGGAACCTTTTTTGGAGATATGTATGTAAATCGGTTTTTTTGTTACAGACATTTCTATCATGTACAGCTTTTTATTTGCGTAGTGTAGATATTTCATATATGTATTATAACAGGGCGTCTTGAACCCGGCCGGCTTGGTATCAATGATACGCAATTTTTGTTGTGATACCATTACGTACGTAAAATATATTAGGCGAATCTAATAAATGTGCTAATAATGTAATCTACAACTGGTGGTAGGACCTCTTGTGAGTCCGCACGGGTAGGTACCACCACCCTGCCTATTTCTGCCGTGAAGTAGTAATGCGTTTCGGTTGTAAAGGCGGGGCAGCCGTTGTACTTTAAAAACTGCTTTTTTAGAAATTTCTTTTAAACACGCTTTTTTTACAATTTTCTTACACTATTTTTAATTCAAATTTATTAAAATTTGTTTTCTATTTTGTAGTTAGATTTTCTATAAAAGCGTATTTTGTTAGTTTTTTTAAACTATTATTTATTTTTCATTTTTTAGTTGAATTTACATTTTTTTAATTTTTTAAAAATACTGAATTGTCATTAATAATGTCCTTTATAAATATACCAATTTCGAGTTAATCCGAAGTATTCAAGAGGGTCAAAATCATGTTCAATGATTCCGTTACATACTAACATACATACGTCTGAAACTAATAAAAGCGTATTGAAAAATATATATTAAACAACTTTTGGCTTGAAGGCAACATTGATCTTATTAATGCAAATTGAGCTTCGAAATCAGTTGCCGTGCAATGAATTTCCCTCGGCGATTGATCGCGTTAAAAATTATGGCAAGAGTGATTTCCACCACTGATTTATTCTTAGCAGGACTCAGAGGGTACGTATTATGAGTCGTAGTCCCGTCATTCCTTGCTCCACCAAATGCAATTTATTGCTTAGATGGGTGGACGAGCTCACAGTCCACCTGGTGTTAAGTGGTTACTGGAGCTAATGGACATCTACAACGTAAATGCGCCACCCACCTTGAGATATAAGTCCTAAGATCTCAGTATAGTTACAACGGCTGCCCCAACCTTCAAACCGAAACACATTACTGCTTCACGGCAGAAATAGGCAGGGCGGTGGTACCTACCCGCGCGGACTCACAAGAGGTGAGTACATTCTACCACCAGTACATTCTATGGTATACCTGAATTTCTATGATATACCTGAGTAATAATAGTCCGATTCCTGTGGGGGTCGGACACGGTTCGAACGGCGATGCGTGGCGCCGGGCGGGACCGCTCCGTCAGGTCTGGTAAACTGCCCATACGTGATACCTTTTTCCACTTATTCCATGTCATCTATTTTGTTGTCTAAAAAAGAAAAAACAATGTAGTTGATGCTTGCCCGTGCCGTGACGATTTTACAATCCACTTGATGTTCTAGAGCCAATGAAAGAGGCAACGCTATAGGCGCCATTTTTTTGCTTCAAATTCAATTCAAAATAAATCTCTCATTCTCTTTCTCAATCTCTTTTCGAAATAAATTTGTCATTCGACATGATTAAAAACATGACTATACAAGTAAGAATATTTGATTTTCATAATAATTTATCAGATAAATACGATTCCTTAGTGACCACTGAACTAAGTGTAGCTTGCAGAATGTATAGCAGATATCAATAATCGACTTCTAATATAAATCAAAGAGAATTAATAAATCACCACGACTATAAAAAATCTTATACCTTTCAACAAGCAATTCTTGTATATTAATATATATGTATATAATCTGAATCTCGGAAACGGCTCCAACGATTTTCATAAAATTTAGTATACAGGGGATTTCGGGGGCGATGAATCGATCTAGCTACGATTTATTTTCAGAAAATGTTGTTTTATTCGTGTTTTCAATAATCAACTCTTCCCGACATCTATTGGCCATACTCCTCTATCATATACCATTTCTTCGTTCACGCCCTCTTACAGACATAGTTTTTCACGCAATCCATCCATTTTTTCTTAGATCTACCTTTTCTTCTAAGACTGATCTGACTGATTATAAGCAGGTGAGTTGCGAGAGTTCAGGGTTTGAAGAGATAGAGTCAATGCTCAGTCTACCTTTAGTAGGATAACACATCGGCTCTTATGTATATGTAGCATTTATATGCAGTTAAGTAAACTTTTAGATTATAAGGTTACAAACAACAACTACATAAAAGCTTGAAACAAAAAAAAGTTGTATATCAGGTGGACGCACTGACTTCTTTTTTATTATAAAACTTAATAGAGATCTATGTAGATGTTTTTTATTTTGTAAAGCTGTCAAATATTTTATTACAGTCACGTTTATCAGAATGTAAATAAGATTGAAGTACGAGAGACGACTAACAAAAAAAAAGGTGTTAAAAATAGATAATGACACGCACAACAGACCTAGCGACCAGGAACTTGATTTGAAAATTTAATGCTAATTAAATAAAATGAATATAATATATTTGTTTATGTTCAGCATTTGGCAAAGTTTGTTTTTGCGATTATGTTTAAAACAAAAATCAAAATAATAGGATCGTAAATTCTGATCGTGACATTGATTTTTTTATCTGAGAACTATGAATTTAACCGTATAATTTATCTATAGTATTGTTACGCCGATAAGAGGGGCTCAAAGCCGAAATGGAGTGATGTTGCGGCTATGAGGCCAAATATAAAAAGTTATTGGGCACAGTGGGACAGCTTGGTTATCCAAGAAGGAGTTTTGTGTCGAAAATGGGAAAATGCTCGGGGAGACAAATGTCATTTGCAAATGATAGTCCCGAAGTCGAAGGTACCAGACGTCCTACAGCTATACCACGCGGGGTTCTCAGGTGGGCATAGGGGGTAAATTGCGAGAACGATTTTACTGGATCTATTGCCGAGACGATGTAGAGGATTGGTGTCGTAAATATACCAAATGTGCTGCAGTTAAAGGTCCTCACACACGTAGCAAAGGTGCGCTTAAATTGTACAACCTTGGAGCGCCATGGGAAAGAATCGCATTGTACGTAGCCGCCAGCCAGCCCGTTCCCTCACACAGTAGCAGTGGAAACAAGTACTTCATGGTGGTGATGGATTACTTCACAAAGTGGTCTTAAGTCTTCACCATTCCTAATCAAGAAGACTCGACGATTGCCGATAAATTAGTACACGAAGTGTTCTGTCGGTTTGGGGTACCCTTAGAAATACACAGTGACCATGGAAGGAAATTCGAGTTCCAGGTATTTCAAAAGACTTGCAGAGTATTGGGTATCCACATAGGTAGAACCACATCTTATCACCGATAATGCGATGGAACGGTGGAACGTTTTAATCAAACATTGGAGAGATATTTGGCGAAAGTTGTGGAGAATAGCCAAATGGATTTATTTTGTTTATTTATTTATTTTATTAGGCTCACAATACACATCACAAGCTAAAGATACTTATAAAGCACAAATAAAAAGAAACAAAATCTGGCTTGCAACATAGGTTATGTGCGCACGACAAAACAAGACATACATTGGGATATACACATCCAGCCCTTCCTTCTGTTCTACCTAATCGTTGGTAGCCTAAGGGGCTATTCCAACTACGCGTGGTTTGGTAGGTGAGCTGAAACTGGGAGGAATTGCGACATCTGGCCTAGCAAGAGCAATGCTTCGCTGAACTTACCACAGAATCGGAATCACGACCCACTGAGATCTGGCGAGAAACACAGTGGGTTGTGTCTGTGGGTGCGTTTCATAAAAAGGTTGAAGGAGTGGTAAGTGAGTGATACTTTAATTTAGAAACTGCGAATGTCGCATTAACTACGAAATACCCATTCCATTCATTTTTAAGAACTCCACATATTTCTTGGTAGTTGTTTTTATTACTATTTTCCTATTGATTCAAGCTGTTTCGAGTCTTCAACATCAGAGGCTGAAACCTGATCTACAGTTTTACAAAATTGTTTTATTTTGGATTAATTTGTTTTTTTTTTTTGTTTTTTTCTCTTGGTGTTATAGACTATAAGTTATTGGTAATAATAATAAAAAAATATTATTATAAACTTATTATTCTTAATTAGGAGCAATTAGAATTTTTCAATTTATATATAATAGTTGAATTCGTTGATATTCTGTTTTCGTAATGATTTAATCTCGCATTTCAATTGATGTTCGTCATTTGTTTTTGTTATCCATGACCGCGGTGACCGAAGCAATCTAGAGATTCCAAAGCTCGGAAAACCTCAAATAAACTGCATTTGTTAACAATTCAACATGCATTTTCCATTGACCATGAAACATTTTGTGGGCGATTAAAATATTCAATCTATATAACGAATTCATAGTTAATTTCAAGGAGGTTAAAGCAGTTTTTTTAAACACCATATTATTATCTATATACAAATATATCGTATGCATTACCGCGTCTCTTGAAGCGTGCAAACGAAATACCATAATAATACATAAGACTGTCATTTCAAGAGATACTTCTACATGTATAACGCATATAAATAGATATATCATCTTAATACTTACCAGAAAAGGAATAGAGGTTCATTTTATCGCAATGAAAACTATTTTGCACGTTAAATCACAGAAGAATTCGCTCACTAAGTATTTTCATGAATAAAACGGATTCGCTCGTAATTTGATATGATTTTCGTTTTGTTTGATACCTTAAGCACGATATGTTGCGGTTTTTAGTTTTATTATTAGTTTATTTTTATATTTTGTGCGACGTTGCAGATGGTAGCGCGATCAACACTGTGGGTGTGTGTGTGCGGTGACCATGATTTAGGATGCTGCGCGGGAAAGTTCTGTAAATATTTTCGTTTTTTTTTTTTTTTTTTATTGCTTAGATGGGTGGGCGATCTCACAGGCCACCTGGTGTTAAGTGGTTACTGGAGCCCATAGACATCTACAATGTAAATGCGCCACCCACCTTGAGATATAAGTTCTAAGGTCTCATGTTTTAGCTACAACGGCTACCCCACCCTTCAAAGCGAAACGCATTACTGCTTCACGGCAGAAATAGGCAGGGCGGTGGTACCCACCCGCGCGGACTCACAAGAGGTCCTACCACCAGTTTGTCTCAATAGATAAATCTGTAGCAGATACCTATCAAAGAACACAAGATATTTCACAGATCTCGAAGTAATTCGATAACGACATTTTCAAGATCAGTTTGCATATGTACATACGATTTCCGAACAATAACATTTGGCCCGTCGATGTACCGAGCAATCACTTCAAAGGAAGATCTTCCTTTAGTTGTTCCCCCAAAAATCTTATTATTTTGTTTATTTAGAAAAAAATTGTCAACGTCCTAAAATTCGCGCTTCCAGTGCGCTAATACCTGTTGATACATTCGAGATGTTCTCGTGTAGTTTTAGAAGCATGGTGGTCCTAGTATCTAGGGTGACAGCCCTGAGAACGAGGGTTGGCACGCGCATGCGTCCCGCTCTCCCGTCTGGAGGCCGATGGAGATACATTATTAGACCGGAGATAGCATAAAAAAGATGTAGAGCTATATTAAACTATTCCATTGAATTGAAAATATATCGTGTTACATTACATTAAGGATTAAATTTGCGTGGGTTTCATTGTTTGTAACTTACCTGGAATTATTTTTATTCAAATATTTTGTTTCAAGTTTGAAAAAGACGCAAAAATTCCAATTGTATGTAAAATAAATAATAGTTTAAAAAACTAAAAAAATACACTTTTATAGAAAATTCAACTAAACAATAGAAAATAAATTTTAATAAATTTGAATTTAAAATAGTGTTAGAAAAAATGATCGTTTTTCTATGAATTTTTTAGTTGAATTTCAATTTTTTCAATTTTTTTTAAATATTGAATTGTCATCGGTCCTTAATAAGTATGCTAAATTTCGAGTTAATCCGACGTTTTGAAGGGGGTCAAAATCATGTTCAAAGATTCCGTTACATACTAACATACATACATACGTCTGAAGCTAATAAAAGCGTATTAAAATGATGGTTTACCATAAAAATCCGCTATATAAAACTTTTATTTAAACTTTGGGAATATATACGACGAAAGGAAGATCTTCCACCGAGCGGGTGATAATGCTCGGTAGACCGACGGTCCGAATGTTGTTGTTCGGAACTTGTATATATGCGCTTTATCTTGAAAATGTCGTAAGCGAGATTCAGGCATCTGTCAATTATCTTGCGTTGTATGATGGCTAACCGCCACATCACTCCCCTCCGAGATTGGAGGTCGTGTCATTTAGTATGCGTTGTCCGTGCTGAGAGTAGCTTGCAAGGGCCAGTGCTGCTCGAAGCCTGCGGTGAGTCGAGGCTGAGCTTGAATGCTGCGTGCGTGTCGCCAGTGCTGCTCGAAGTTTGCAGTGAGTCGAAACTGAGCTGAATGCTGCGTGATTGTCGCCAGTGCTGCTCGAAGTCTGCGGTGAGTCGAGACTGAGCTTGAATGTTGCGTGCGTGTCGTGCGTAGTTCATGTGATGCAGAGCTGCCACGCCGGAGATGTGTGACCCCAAGCGTTGATGATCCGGTCGTGGGCTGCGATGAACTGTAGCGGCGTGATGAGGCAGTGAAGTTGCGTGCCGTAGGACCAGGAAGCGCGGTGAGTCGGCTGCGATGGTCCTGTTGAGGCTGCGGTGCTGGCTTGCTGTGGGACGACTGTCAATGACGTTTTATTTGCGAGAATGCGGGGATTGTGGTAGCCGAAGTTCTTGATGCGCTGATGATGAATCAGAAGGTTGCGTGTTCAGATCACGTCGGAGGTCACCAGTTTTGGGAATATATACGACGAAAGGAAGATCTTCCACCGAGCGGGTGATAATGCTCGGTAGACCGACGGTCCGAATGTTGTTGTTCGGAACTTGTATATATGCGCTTTATCTTGAAAATGTCGTAAGCGAGATTCAGGCATCTGTCAATTATCTTGCGTTGTATGATGGCTAACCGCCACAAAACTATTAACTTTATTTATTTTATTTTTTTATTGCTTAGATGGGTGGACGAGCTCACAGCCCACCTGGTGTTAAGTGGTTACTGGAAGCCCATAGACATCCACAACGTAAATGCGCCACCCACCTTGAGATATAAGTTCTAAGGTCTCAAGTAACGCATTACTGCTTCACGGCAGAAATAGGCAGGGTGGTGGTACCCACCCGCGCGGACTCACAAGAGGTCCTACCACCAGTAATTACGCAAATTATAATTTTTGCAGGTTTGATTTTTATTACACGATGTTATTCCTTCACCGTGGAAATCAATCATGAACATTTGTTGAGTACGTATTTCATTAGAAAAATTGGTACCCGCCTGAGATTCGAACACTAAAGTAGTTTCCTCAAACCTTACATGAAGAGGTAAATGTAATCTCGGAGGGAGCACCGTCGTTGAGAGTTCATTTTCAAGTTCGATAATACTAAAAGGCATTTTTATTTATTTACTTTTTATTGCCTTTGTAGGCAGACCAGCATACGACCGACCTGATGGTAAGTGGTCACCGTCGCTCATGAACGTCAGCAATGTCAGGGGCAGAGCCAAGTCGCTGCCTACCATTAAATCTACCCTAGAAATACAATATTCGCCTTGTAAGATGTTTCGCGCTGCACGCATTTCTGAGGTACGAAGGGCTCGACGAGTAAATTAACCTACAGACACAGCCCACTGAGTTTCTCGCCGGATCTTCTCGGTGGGTCGCGTTTCCGATCCGGTGGCAGATTCTGCGAAGCACGGCTCTTGCTAGGGTTCGTGTTAGCAACTTCGTCAGGTTTGACCCCCGTGAGCTCACCTACTAGTTAAGGTTCCGCTGAAATAAACTCTAAAGGTTATTAGCTTAGGTAGAAAAAAACAAAAAACAGATAGAACAGAAGATACGCTTAAAAGTCACAGAATTTCGGTAAAAAAAACAATAGATAACGCGAGATTAAGTCGTAAAAGTAGTTTTAATAGTGCCCAAGTCTCCCGAATATCCGAGTTATTATCGAAAAAAAAAAAAAAATTGTAACCAGCCACTCTATTCACGTCTTGTTTGTATCGAAACCCATACTAAAGTACACGTATTTGTACACACAGGCGGGTGCCCAGTTCCGAGAAAAGTAAGAGATATTTATTGAAATCTAACAAAATATAAATCAATAAGATGATTCGATAAGATAAGTGGCGAAGGGGAAAGCTGTTCTAGTTAAAGTCAGCGAAGCTCGCAGAAAGAGAGTACTGAATGCAGTCGCTCATATTCCTAAGGCTCCATTTTATAATAATTAGGGCTCTTCGGATCGAATGGTTGATTAGCAGAAATAGGCGGGGCAGTTATTAAAAATACTATATAAGGGGAAAGTTCTATAGGAAAATAAGTAAATGACACTAAGCCTAAAGCCAGGCCTTAAGAAACAGTAATATTAGCTCTCAAGTGGACGAGGCTGCTTCATGCATCTTTTTAGCCTAAACTTCTATAGCGTTACTTGTCATATTGGCTCTTAGGACGGTTAAATAATAGACGAATCGTAAGACGTAAGACTCAGAAGAGAAGATATCAGTTAGAATTTTTAGATCTACTGGTGGTAGGATGTCTTGTGAGTCCACACGGGTTGGTTAGTTTTAGGTTGGGTTGACGTGAAGCAGTAATGCGTTTTGGTTCGAAGGCGAGGCAGCCGTTGTAGTATACAAACTGAGACCTTACAACTGATGTCACGGGGTGAGTGGCGGTATTTGCGCTGTAGACGTCTATGGGCTCCGGTGACAATTTAACACCAGGTGGGCTGTGAGATATTCCACCCATCGAAGCAATAAAAAAGTTCAGAAAATGTAAACAAAAACCGTGCTCATTTTCTTTCTTGCTGTAATAAACCATACTTTGACTGTTACTTAAGTCACCATTTCAAAAAGTTTATTGATATTCAATTTCGTTGTGTAGATTACGAGATTGGATACAGATCGTGGGTCTAATGGTCAATGTTTTGATCACTGTGCCACGGTCTTAGGTCTCGATTCTCGGTCTGTACTTGATACGATGATTGATCTTGGACCGTTCTTGTCTTACGTCTGAACACACAGGGACAGCAGCTTACGCAACAAAATATTTTTAATTTTTTTTAATGCTTTGATGGGTGGACGCGCTCACAGCCCACCTGATGTTAAGTGGTTACTGGAGCCCATGGTCATCTACAACGTAAATGCGCCACCCACCTTGAGATATAAGTTCTATGATCTCAGTATAGTTACAACGGCTGCCCCACCCTTCAAACCGAAATGCATTACTCCTTCACGTCAGAAATAGGCAGGGACCCGCGCGGACTCACAAGAGGTCCTACCACCAGTAACAATTTTTTATACTACAAACGTTTGGCAACCAAACTTTCTCTGAATACAGCCCTGTCCACTTTGACGTGAAGTGACAAGTGACATGCAAAGAGCCGCAACAATGTGGTCGCAAATAGGTAAGTAGGAAATACACGAAGTGGGTCATAGTGTTTAAAGTAGTGAGGGATATGTTAATGTGTTATTCTTCTCGGATTTTTCACACCAGTGGCTTTTGCTTATCATGTCCGATTCTCGAATTAGGAAATTGTAAAGATGACGTATGTTTTGGTTTAACAATGCCGAAGAAGACTGCCCGAAGAAGAATCCCTTTCGAACTAACTCAGTTTCTTTATTCAAGCCTAGCTTTCGACTTCACCCGCTTGGATTATCTATATACTTATATATAAAAATGAATTGCTGTTCGTTAGTCTCGTTAAAACTCGAGAACGGCTGGACCGATTTGGCTAATTTTGGTCTTGAATTATTCGTGGAAGTCCAGGGAAGGTTTAAAAGGT